GACCCAGGAGTTGACGGGCCTGGGGTTGACTCGAGTAGCCAGAGACCCTTTTCCCTTCGCCCTGACCCGCTTTATTCTTTCTACATCAAAGGGGCTACCTGGTGCCGACTCGCGGGCCAATCAGCTCGCTGGGATCACCCGCCAATCGGTAGGCCCATCTGTATCCCAGCACCCCCCGGGCCGTTGCTTTCAGCGACGTCCGCATCTAAATTTACCTGCTCAGCGGCCATCCAACCAGAGGGCGACCCTGCTTTCCCGCTGCTCGTGGCTCCGCCCTCCCCCCTACCTGCCCTGCCGACCCGTGTGCGTGAGGTGCGTACTAACCGCGGTGGCGGGGCTGCCCCGCCGTGAACATGTCATTTCTACTCAAGTCACGGCGCCACGGTGTGTGTTAGCGTCGGAGGAGACCGTCCAATTCCCTGGCCGCAGGAAACCGTGAAGATTATCCCTTTACGAGGGCTTCTGGGTGAAAACCTGTCGGCCAGGGTGTCTCCCCACGCGCTCTAATGGTGGGGGAAGTGCGTGCGTGTGTGTTCCGGTGGGGGGGGTGGGGAGGTGGTGGGGTGGAGCAATGTCGGCCTCGCCGCTCGGGGGCGGCGAGATCGCAGGTGGGCCACCCGCCGATCGGCTCCGTGGCGGCGGCATCACACTCTCACTGCTCAAATAAACCTACCATTAAAATTATAGACTGATCATTTCTTTGTCAGTGGGCAAACGTACAAAATCAGCAGGGGATCAAATACTTTTTTCCCTCAGTGTACATACGTACATGCCTTCAGTGGAAACTGGTCATTAAAAGCGATATAGCAACGTGCCAAAAAGGGGAGCTTTTTAATTCGCCTAAATAAATGTTTTGACTTACCAAGTAAAGAAAACGGTTAAAACTAAACATGGTGTGCAGCGCGAAAGTTGACGGCGGTTTGGGGAGGCCTTCATCCAGCAGTGGACTGACCACGGCTGATGATGATAGTACAACGTTACAGCTGGTAATTCGGTGGAATGGGGTGGGGGGACTGTAACTGTGGTCTTATGAGGACAAACAATAGGGCCGTCGAAATATCGTGTGCATGCCAATTCACCGTTCCTCGAGTTAACGTTCGGTGTTACATTTACTCCAACATTAATGTTCCGACTCTTGGGAGAGACAAAAGCCCTCCTTTGGAGCGGCCCCGAGTCATAGCGCTGTTAAATAATCACGCTCGGAGAGGCTCCTGCTTGACCGGGTGCTGTCAGTGTCTGCCGCTCAAGAAAAGTTCATGCGATTTCACGATGCCTCCGAGGCTCAGCAAATTTGTACGGTGTTAAAATGTTTTGTTATATGGTATGTAAAAATGCGCACCGTATGATGGCTAAGCATTTCAATAAGAGGAAGCTGACATGGTGGTGGCAAACATTAAACGAAGCCTGCTTACGCTGGTTGGCAAAGTAAAAAAAAATGTACAGGAGCTCACAATGAAAATTTGAATACACTGTACATTCTTGTCCATTATGCAGATGTGTGGATATTTTGCGTGCATTTTTAACACAACGAAGGTGACGCTTTGGCCTGTGATCCAGCACACTGTGGAGGCGAGGGCTTTTGGATCACACAAATATTGAGAAACTCCCTTGCCGTGCACGGCGAGGATGTGATATAAACAGACTTTCCAGAAGATAGTAACAACAGTCCGTGTGGGATTAAGCGTTTCCCTCTCACGCGCGTAGGCTTTCTCTGGATGCTCCTGTTTCCTTCTCGTGTAAACGTGCCTCAAATTGGCCAGAAAACATCTTAATATATAAGGGACTGCAGAGCTTGGGCAAGTCTTGGCGCCGGATTGACGTCTGGCTGCCTTTCCTGCTCGTCTGTGGCTCCTCGCGCCTCCGAGTCGTCTCTCTCTCTCTCTCTTCGAGAGAGTGTGTGAATATTGTGCGGCATGTTAGAGGTTCAAGTTGTTATTCCACATTCACGTTTACCGAGGAGAACTCTCACCGAGTCACGTGGCACTTTTCAGGAGAGTCCTGCTTGGGGATGTTTAAACATTTGCTTTATCAGGTGCTAACGTGTGGGATAAAGTGTGTGTGGAGAAAACGTACGTGTAACTGAAGATAATAGCAAAAATGTCAAAGGTGCAGCCCCTGCAATTGCTTGTTCAGGCCACTGTTGGCATAAGGGTTATCTCCACTACAGGGGTATTTGACCCACTCTTCCAGGACGCTCTGACATCTTGGTAGACGTGGGAGTACCCACACGCTCCCTCACCACACGCAAACTGCCGCTCGAATATCTGCGGTGAACACATTTACACCGCTGGATGGACAGATGCGCGGGTGGGGGGGGTTAATAAAATTGTTCCATTGTTTTAACTGCCACGCCAGGAGGTCAAAGCGAACCGGTGACCTTTGGATTGAAATTCCAGCCTACTGACCATTATATACCGTATAGCAGCAGCCCGACCAGCAGATAACACTTCAAAACCGACATAATCGTGAGCAACCTTACTTTCTGTAACCCTACATCCTCATACAGGCCACATCACTGTGACGCAAGTGGGTGTCCTCGCGGTACATGATGTGTCTCGATGCGATCAACGAACCCCCACCTCCAACAGCACCGTGCCACACTACTGGGCGCGTTGCCGTGACCCAGAAACCGTGAACACGTCGTGTGTGTGTGTGCGCGCTTGTCTGCTGCTGCTGCTGCTGCTGCAACGTTGAGACTTGTTTCGACGTTGCGAAGCCGGTGCAGTGCTGCAGTGTTCTAGTTCTGTTGGGACACTTTTACCGGCGTGCAGCGCACACACACCACACGCAAACGAGAGGCATGCGCGTTGGCATACAAGGGCGGCGCCACCGCGAAATTCCTCCCATGCCATCATTTTAGCTGCGTCAAAACAATCGTTGCGAGTTAGGGAAATGCGAAAGGAATACTAACGTGTGGATATGAACGTCTCCGAGAGACGGGGGAGTTAAGCGGGTTTGAAGGATGTCTTTCAATTCGGGTGTTGCGAGGTGCCAATTTCAATTGGCGGCCCTGAGCGAGCGGTGGCAATTGCACATTCCTTTGGCAGGAGTTCATTCTTTCATGAGGACAGGAACTTTCACGCTCCCGAAGGAGCGGCATTTATTTTTTGCCCATACGAGGATGATGGGCGACTTTCCATTGAAATTCGAAAGTTCCAATGATTCCCACCTCGACTGAGTAAGTACATCGTCATATTTGTTTTCCCTCGATTCCGTACTGCTATTAAGTTTGCGCAAAGGGCAAAGATGTTTCACACTGCAGGCTGCACTGTAGCATAATACATCAATTCACCAAATGAACTATCCCTGAAGGGTCAAAGTAACAACGTCGATGGCCTGTTTTCTGGGCGCGGTTTTCTCTGAATTGATAACAAAAAAACACATTTCAAATCTCAGCCTCTTTCGTCGCTTCTACGTGACGCAGCTTTTTGTGAAACAAGACACCGAAAACATTTTGGTTTTACTACCACAGGAACAGCCCGGTGTGATATGTGAATGACCGGAGCACTGTACAAGACACAATTCAGTCAAAAGTCCATTTTCTCCGCGAGAACTTCCTCCAACGCAGACCACAATAGAGTATGTTTTCTAAAACGTCTCTTTATGAAAGCAATTGAAAAAGAAACCCACGCGATTTGCAAGAAGCAATAACTGCGCAACTGCAAACATTTTTTATTTAATACCCATCTGGAGCCAGCGCTTGCAGTGTCGCCTTCAGACGAAGGTACAACAATTCATTCTCAGATTTGTCAAAGCATAAAGTAGCCTCCGGGCTGGTACAAGCTCATTAAATGACGCTTAAATGCATGTATAGCATGTTTTTTTTTATTGTATTTTATGCACAAAAGATTAATTAGGTTCGATTTAAGTGTTTTACACCAATAGACTCATACGATCCTATTCAATGTTCCGTATCAGTATCATTCTATAATATGCGATTCACCTACGTACATCTGCTATTTGTTTCTACAAAGATGCGAAGCTAATGTTAATTTTTTTTTGCTCTAAATAAATCAATATAAACATTACCCGTACGCGCATCATACGCACGCACGCATGCGTATCCAGAGATTGCACACGATATACATGCGCGCTCTTCGCAACAAAAATAAAACACAGGCACATATACGAAACTGATCTGCTGGTTCAATGCCGAAGGCTCATTTCGAGGATGCGCCCCGACCTGCAATAATGTCAATGGACAGGAAGCTGGGGAAATTATTCCAAAGAACAAATGGACAACGCATTGAGCACCCTCTCCAAAGACGTAACACAACCCGTGTGTTGTATGCAACTCAGGGTTGCGATGTCGTGGGCAGGAGGAACGTGGCGAGCTGTAAGTGCAGCAGCGGTCAGCGCTACGCTGCGCTACGAACCCAGCGCTCCAGAGTTCGATTCCCGCTCACGGCCCAACACCATCAGTGGCGATTATCTGAACCTGTCATGGGCCTCCCCTAGGTCGACTCAGCCTTAATTGAGTATCCGGTGCGGTGTGGGGAGACAAAGGTGGCTGGGCGTGGTGCTGGCCCACCCCCACCCCCCTCGTGTGCCGTCGCGGTCTTCATAGGTGCTCGCTAACAGCACTTGACCCAACAGTCTGTTAAGGCTATACGGGGGGTGGAGATCTATGCCTTTGATGAAGGTCGTCTATCAGCTGTGGACAACGCTGGATGGGTATTGATGCACCCAAACAGATCAAGCACGAGTGGTCATTGAGACACCCTCCAAGAGGAAGCTTCCAGAATGAAGGTGGAATGTGCAGTTTGTAACAGAAAAAAATACAATAATTTTTTTGACAGTATAGAGGAAAGACATAAACCACAAACTTAGCTGTATTGAACTTAAGTACATGAAATATTAAAGTAAATCAATATGATGATATTATCATTGACACCGATAACGCATTAACAGCACGCGCACACACACAGACACACGTGTTTGTCGTTTGTCCGTGTGGTGAGAGAGAGAGAGAGTCTTGCGATCCCCACTGCCGTGCGTACCTCGGAACGTCACCCGGGCAATCCGGTCCGCTTTGCCCCGAAGCTTCTCCACCCGCTTCAGATGGACCACGAGAGCCATCTCGACCCCACCGTCTTCAGCCTTTGACGGCCGCGTGCACTCGAGGCTTGAAGCGAACCACAGCCGCAGCTGATGCCCCCACCCCCCACACGGCTCTCCGCACACGCAGAGAGAGGCTGACCGGCGCTCAGCTGACTGCGGGCATTCTCATTGCCAGTGACACTCCACACGGAGCCACACGGAGTACGAACGAGAACCCTTTTTTTGCATGCACGACGCCTGGCCGCTATATATACGTGCTATAATAACACCGTGATGGGTTTTTTTTTGGGGGGGGGGGGGGGTAAATAAATGAATAATCAATTGCCCGCGCGAAGCGTTTATTTTACGGCGGTGCTGTTTAGCTGGATGACTGTTACGGTGAACTGCTGCTGCTGGAATGTGTGAGCGGCACACACGGAAATGGTGGTGGTGTGTGTGTGTGCTTTTATGGCTGAGTGCACGCTCCCCCCTTAGCCTGTGTGTGGGGTTGGGGGACTGTGTGTGTGTGTGGGATGTGGGTGGAGGAGACACAAGCCAAGCCCATACAGGTGTAACCAGTCAGGCAGCTCGGTACCGCAATGTGGGACAAACCAGACTGCAAACAGCGGACAATGAATACAGCGTGAATCAAGCAACACCTCCCACCTCCCCCGTTGCCTTGCTGGCATGAGCAGCCCTCAATTGACTGTTTCCCCGATGCGGTCCGCGAATGATTGACACGGGAAATGCATCAGTGTACGAAGCATTTAAATAGCACACCTTCGTAAACACATGATTGATCGATGCGCTTACGGATACACGACACACCCCCCTTTGAGATTGGTTCATTCTGAAACAAATCGCACCAAATAATGGAATTAAATGGGATGATTGTTAGAGAGGCAATATTTGTGTAGTGACATAGAATGGGTCGTCACTACGACGCGTAGCGCTGGTTACTGGTAGAGAGCGGGATCGCGGGTGCAATAGCCCGGTCTACCAGCAGGGCACGTGATAGGCACGGATGTAGGCTAAAGGTGACAGAGGGGACACGTGGGGCAGAGTCCAGAACCTTCTGGTAGGTTCCAGAAGGGGGCGTTGCCGAGGGCGGAGCCAGGCCACGCTGGGGAGTATAAAAGGGAGGCCCAAACACGCTGGGTCAGGGCTGCTGCGGTTTGGGACTGGAACCCTTTGTCTTCACAAGTCTTCGTCACCGACTTCACCTCCTCGTCGGTGTTGGGTCAGGCAGTGTGCCGACTGTCCTGACCCATATATAGTTATCCCCTGTACTGTGGAAAGTGTATAATAAACGTGTGTGCATCCTACTATTAGTGTCTCTGAAGTGACTCACTGCATATGTCTAGGGCAGGATGGAGTACTTCTATACAATGAAATTTGATCATGAAAAGCAACATAAAGATTCCAGCTGGGCAGTATTCATGACTTCTAGCCTGGGATTGTGATTCCAATCTTAAAATGTCATATTTGATTCCTGGAGGGAGCAGAATTGTGGAATTGTGGGGTGGTCAGACTGGGGAAATCAAGATGTGACATTCAGGTAAGAAGGGGTGGGGGGGGTGTCCATGCAGGCCTGGTCAGCCTTGCGGAATCGCCATTACCAATGTACGGCTGATGCCTTTGTGACTTTGTGATTTGTTTCTATGGTGATTCTAGCTGATACCGGCCTGCTGGTATGGACCCAAATACAGCCGGCTGAATGGCCACTCGTGTATGTTGTAACGTAGGAATTGCCCACCGACCAGAAATTTTAATTCGTGCAGAAATCGTCCAGGTTGGAATTGTAGGAATCCACTGGGGTTTTTTTTTCTGCAGCAAGAACCACTTTTAATCAGTGCACATTATCTGTCATGCCATTTGGATCAGAAACATGAACTAAAAACCCTAAAAAGTGTTCAAATAAGCTTAGACAGGTGCAAGTTTGGAATTAGGCTGAGAGCCTTGCCCCCCCCCCCCCAAAAAAAAAAGCAGTTCCAAATAATTGATACTAGAGATACAATGTTGATTGTTAAGAAAAGTAAATGGGCTTGGGTAGATCCATGATGGATGTTTTTTGGGTTAGATCGCGTAAATATATAAACGTGTCGTTAAACCTGCCACCACCCGACACAGCCAACTAGTAAGGTTTGTCACGTAAACAGAACGTGGCCAATTCGACGCTAGTACAGCACTAACCGGTGTGTTGGGAGAGCGAAACCACAACATTTACAATCAGAGTACGACGTTTCGCCAGTAATTACAACTAGCTTCATCAGGCGGCAGCCACATTTGTGGAGAAATCCTCCTGGGCGTGGGTAGCCTCACAGTGCTCAAAGGGAGAATAGTTAGACAAAACGAGGAAACACGCCTGAGGGGGTGACCTCTGTGGAGATTGAGTGGTGATAGCTCAGGAGACGGATTGTGATATCGAAGGCGAATGGCTATGACATGGGGAGGCCGTAATCGAGCAGTGAATCGATCATGGCCGATCATGCCATTATTTGAAGATTCCTATTTACATCCACGTGAATATAGTAAATTGGTGGCCACTGTATCTACGTGAATATTTACTTTATATAGCTAAATATATGCAGTTCTCAGTGCTGTTTAATAATCCCTTTAACCCATTCACCAAGTCATGGAGAAGTGCGATGAATAAACCCTCATCACCATCATGCTATGGAAAAGGTCTTCATCCAGCAGTGGATTGACAAAGGGTTGTCCAACATCATCATCATATATAAATGGGGTGAATATAAATCCAATCTGCATGTTGCATGTTATAGAGACAAATGCACTGAACATCTGTAATCATATGCATCTGTAGTTTAGAAAGTGCCTTAATGAGCTGCATTAAAGCCTCATGTATTATGCATACAAAAGGTCGCAAGAGTACTGAGTAAATTTCTAGACATGCACACATTAAAAAAAATCCCCATTTACCCCTGCAGACTGTTGGAGCCAGTGCTTTTAGTTGAACCCCGTACCGAGTCTGGTGCTGCGCATTAGGGCGTGATTGGTCTACCTATTGCTCATATTGCCTGCTGTACCAGATCGTAATTTTAGGCTGAGTCAACCGAGGGGAGGACGGGGTCCAGGGCCAGATACAAATCCACAGCAGCCAGGAAGCAAACGTGAGTTTGCGGAACTCGCAACAGAGCACGGAACCCACATACGCACGGGTCTACGTTGCCTATATGTGGAAGCTGTTTGGTGATCCCAAGTCATTCGACGAGACACTGCACCACTTAAGAATTGATTACCAATGTGCAGTGTTTGTGAATGGGGAGTGGTGATGAGGCAAACACAGTGCCAGGGTAGCAGCTCGTCACTGAATTGTAGATGAGATAGGGGAATTTAGACCAAGAGGCACTACAAATATTTGACAGTATGTTTAACTATTCTTTGGGTCTTTCGGTAAAAGTCACGTGGATAGGTTAAATTTTTTTTTACAAAAATAACAAAAACTACGACGTTTCGATCACAACACAAGCGATCGTCATCAGGAGGAAAGAGGATGAAAGCTGCTGAATGTATGTTTAACTAACACCACTCTGTGGCAGTGTGCTACAAGGAGCCTATAAAATGGACTTGTCTTCATGGTTAAATGTCACCACATTAACGGGCATGTGCAGCGCACATATACAGGAATATCCACGTTTAATTGTCTATTTCATAGGCAATCAGGTCCAGAACCTTGTGTGCTCATGTCATCACGATGCAATTAAAATAAATGCATGTTCATGTTAAACAGTTCCATCCCCCCCCCTCCCCCCCACCACAGTGGGATACTGCGAAAACGTGACTCGGCACAATCAAAAATAATGTGCTTGATATAAGTGCTTTGCTGCACTCCTAAGTATCCCTGTGCAATAATTTCTGGTACATTAAGTCAGGAACAGACCCATAGACAGTGGTGGCACTAGGCACAAGCAAACTAAGCCAATATTCAGGACACTAGGCAGCTGAAGGAGCCTCAAATTAATGAAACAAAAATCTGTATGAAGCCAATATCAGCTCAAATCCAAATGTCAACAAAAAAAAAGCTAATGGCCATAACAAGTATCTCTCTCATATTTTTCTTATCCGTATCTCTCTTTGATCCAAGGCCACATGTATCTCTCATCTGTGTCTCAATTCTCTCGTCTCACTCCATCCGTATCTCTTGTCCAAATCCCTCATTTCACGACATCGCTCTCTCTTCTCTCATGTTACTACATCTTAGACACACTTATTAAGCGGTGTGCTTTCGCTACGTTGTCCCCACCTGAAGAAGGACGCTTGTGTTGCGCCCGAAACGTCGTGATTTAATTTTTTTTTAAATGTTTACCTACGTGACTTTACCGAAAAAAAACAAAGAGTATTACTCCGTCTTTAAAATGTGTCCAAAATGCTCTCCTCTACGACACCTCTAACTCGTGTCTGTATCGCTGCTGTCATCTCACTCGGAGCCATCTCGCTAAAGAAGGGGGCCCCTGAAAAATAATTTCAGTGTGGGCCCCCCAATGGGCCAGCACAAACTCTGCTGACTGAGAGAGAGGGGAGGGGAGGAGGCACGACATTTCTGTATTGTTTACACATCCAGGTGGAATCGTACTGGCTCATGTCTTCCACCCGGATGGGCCCAAGGCAGCCCTGTTGGACTGGAATGATCAATGGGGACTTGTGATTAAAATCCCCCCTGGCCACATTCATGACCCTTGCCACCTGCTTAAGAGCTGGGCCAACTCCGGAACCGATCGTCAAAGGTTCCACGTGGGTGCAAGGTGCACATGCTACATCGTCACTGTGGTCATATTAAATCACATGGTGTACAATTGACGAAGATCAACGATTCTAACTTAACGCAATCTCACCTCAATGTAAAATGAAGTTAGTTTAATGTTCAATTCCCGACTCGTGGCTGTGCTAGGATATGTATGTATGTTGAACTTCCTTCGCACCGTACGTAGCTAAACCCCGTGCTTTTCGGAGGTGCGGGGTAGAAGTTGATGCAGGGAATGTACCGATCCCACTGAGCATCATGACTCATGGAATAATGGAACACGAACCCAGGCTCCAGTGTGCATAGCTATGAGGCAATAATGCCCTCACCTGTACACTGTGTAACAACCTCGTGTACGAGCAACAGTATTTTCGTTTGGTTATGAAATATAGTACTTTCTCTTAGCTTGTTTCGTGCTGTCACATACAAAGACAAAGATACCCCCAGTATAGCCTTAATAGACAGTTGGGGCAAGTGCTGTTCGCGAGCACCTATGAAGGCCGGAACGGTACACGAGGGGGTGGGTGGCCAGCACCACGCCCGGCCGCCTTTGTCTCCTCAGTGGCGATGTTTACACACCGCACCAGGTACTCATTTGAGACTGAGTCCACCTAGGAGAGGTCCAGGACCGGTTAAGCTAATCGTCACTGGTGGTGGCCGTGAGCGGGAATCGAACTCGGGTAGCCGGGTTCATAGCGCAGCACGCTAACCGCTCCACCACCACTCCCCACTAAACCTATCGTCACAGACACTTTTGGTTCCTCCATTATATAATAAATATAATAAAGAAAACAACTACAAATTATTGTGTCTTCTACTTGAAAAATATTAAACGTTTTCTCTCTCAATCCAGCAGGGGGGGGGGGCACTCATCTCCCATTTTTTAAGTCCCCGAAAAAAATCCCCAGATAAATAATTA